CGTAAACATTCAGCCAAGTGACTTGCAAACTCTCGCGAGAGTTTTACACTAGACGGATCCTTTCTAGCCAGAACCGACCTCCCGCGTGTGACGTAACATGGGGGAGAGCGGCCGGTCTAACGTATGATTAAACATGGATCACAATGCTAGTTTTGACACAGAAGAGGTTGAAAATATATATTCGAATGCATATGATTATAATTATGAGCCTGCTAGGCGTCCAAGAGACCAGGAGCAGCCAAGGATTAGAAAAAATAACGGCCATCGGAGAGAAATGGAGCTTTGGTGTGAGGAGAACCAGTGGAGAACAGAGCAGCTATCTTGGTGAGTGACCGGCGTTAGCATGTTAGCTAACGTCAGTCACATCACAACATTGTAAAGTTAGCAATCGTATATCAGGCTATAACTAAAGTAGCATTGATAATATAGTAACGTTACTGGCAGGACTGTTGATACTGATCCATAACAGAAACTAATGCGCAAGTATCAGCCGTATCTCGCGTTACCTAATGCAACTCCACACTACGGTGCTGTGTACCGGAGGGGAGACGCGAGATACGGCTGATACTTGACGATCTGGCGGAGAAAGGTTGTGGAGCCTCCGTTGATATGCCGTTGTAAATGGCTTGATGGAAAGCAGGTGTGTAGTCGGGGAGGGTGCACAGCTGATTGCAGCAGGTGAGTGGAGGTTGAGCCGGGAGCCAGGAGTGACAGCCACCACGCACACACAAACAACACAGACAGGGGGAAACAAACAAACACAAAGGAGACGGCTGGAGCAGTACAGCCACCACAGCGTTACCTAATGCAACTACACACTACGTCTTACGTTTGCCGTGTACGGAGAGCAGCGAAGGGGGGAAGAGAGATGTAATACGGTTTCCTGATAAAGCTGTGGAGATGTGCTGCAGGGAGGTGGATGCACAACGCACCCGGGAACGAACGCTAGCTCCGGTCCTTTTCCCGTGAGGGAAACTGTGGACTCGATGTCCTGATTGGCTGGTATTTGTGCAACCTGCACAAACACAATACTGCA